AGTTAGTTCAAAATAATCTTTATTCAAATAGACTTCTTAAAAGTACTTTTGAATCGTCCAACATATTTTCTCTACCGCTCGTTCAGGACGTCTTTTGGCTGATAAGAAGAACGAGCAAGAAACTCACCAGCTCTAATAGGAGTAATGACATTTACAAAAACCATGTCATTACAGAGAGAGAAAAAAAAACTATGGTCTTATAATGATAACATAATCATTTAATAATAACGGAAGCAAGATAATTTTTTATATATAATGATAACTCATTATTGTATTGTATAACTCATTAAGTAATCACCTATCCAGTTGCTGGATCTTCTCAAGTCCAAGCATTCTTATCTGTTATATAATCGGATACCTCATAAAAAGCTTTTTTAATAAGTATTTTTTTAATAGTAGATTTAAACTGCATTATATAGGTATAATTGTTGTATTTTGCTTGGTACCTTATTGTAGAAGCGCACACAAAGACCCCTGTATGAGTTATTAACTTTTTGCAGTCTAGTGACAGGCACCGTTAATTTATTCTTATTTCTCGTATTCAAATTGTGTACGTCACTTTTTATAGAAAATAAACTAATATTTTTATGAACGTACATTAAGTTCTCGTATATGTATTGAATGATTTTGTAGATCAGAGACAAAAAGTTTGCATACTGTGAAACCTAGGGCAAAATAAACGGTGGTACGGCACACCGTTACACTTAACAGCTTTCCCGAACAAAAAAGATTCACCGTTTTCTAAATTCCAAATATAAATCTCCTTAGTACTATAACGAAGTGGATTTAAAGTTAAACCAAATATCAATTTTCTCGAGATTGCTTTTAGAGCTTTTTCTCGAAAAATCGTATTGTTTATTATTTTACAGTATCGTCTGGAACGACCTATATCTAACAGGCTGACAGCCGCCCTTTAAATTGGGCGAAGACAAACGACCGACTCGAACGGCACTTACTCGCGGATTAAATTAGCTTTCGAACGATAGTACGGTCGGAATAAAAGTTCACTACGTTATCTAATATTTATTTTTAAATACGTGTTTAACAAAATGCGAATTTTAATATTGATGACGACATTCCGACCCTCACGCACTGAAAGGCTATGTCTCCATCCAAGTTGCATCTCGACACGCTCGGTGAGGGCTTCGCCTCTTCAGCAATGATTAATTAAGAGCAAACTAGCTCTTACAATTATTTACAGAAGACATTTTAAAACCAACAAAAAAATAGTTACGAGATAGTGAACTTTGACAGAATACATGATTAGGTAGAGGTATTAGTTTTACAACAATGCAAGATATTATAGACCATATACCATAGATTAAGTATACGGTAAAGTATAATATATTTGCACTGCATTAGTTAGAACACTTTGCAGTCCAAAATGGTCAAAAAGGGGCCAGTGGTCAAAATCGACTGACATTTCCAATACGGTCATTTGTGTCCGATACGAATTTGTGTTATCCATGAGGATTTCTTATCCTGATAAGGATTCCGAATACATTAATATTGCTGGTCGGATGAATGTGAAAGCTTCCAATTTTGTTGTCCTAGCAACTTTCAAAATGGGATGGGATTTAAGACATAACACATTAGAAAATAATATTTTTAACATATGTCAGTCGAGGTTCTCAAGTGGTTAATACATGAAAAAATACGGTTGTTGAGATGGTACTATGAACAAAAACTACTGGTGCTGCTGGAAACGAACTATTTACAACAAAATTATAAATTTTAGATATACATGACAACATAAACACATTTTTAAGAACACGTTTAGTCAGGGCCCTAGTATTCCTGATCTATCTTTTAGGGGGTGGAGAATTGGACAATTCGAGAAAGAGGGAGACAGAGAATAGATGCATTTGAAATGTGGTGCTGGTGGCGTATGCTCCGAATACCGTGGACAGCCAAACGAACAAATATATTTATTCTCTCGCAACTTAGCATTAAATCCCAACTGGCCAGCTTGTGTCTGCAATGCATACTTTCTTATTTCAGTCACATAATGGGAAGAGGAGATGATAGTCTCGAAAAACTGGTCATTGTTGATAATACCGAAGGAAAAAGATCACGAGATCGGTCACCAATATCAGTCGATGGTCTAACTAGGTGAAAGGAGCTACATTCCTATCCGAGTTCTACGATGGACTATTCGTTTGATGATCCAGTTACCACGATCCTCAGAAATGACGGACCGATTAGAAAGAGAGAGATAACAGCATAATTATTATGCAACTGGTGTCATATTACTCGAAACAGTTGCATTATTATAAGTATCAAAAACAATTTTATTTAGATATTAAAATCTTTACAACATTAAGCAATGCTCCTAAAACCAATGCCACTATTTTGAAAGTTTCCATCTGACTTACCTTTTACTACAACGCAGAAATAAGTAACCAATCAAACTGTACATTTTTATCGATATGATTTATTTGATTAAGTACAATGATATTAATAATTCATTGGTTATCTAACATAGTCGGTTGTTAATGTATTCATTTTTATCTCGTATTTTATTTGCTGACGTTACGTTACGAGATTCGTAAATCTCGCGTGGCACGGCATCTACCCGAACGTCTGTCCGTCTGATAGACCGTAACCAGAGCCGGAAATCAAATAAACTATATAGCAGTATTAGACAATGAGTTTACTTTGATAATGCTATTTCAACAATGTTATGAATGTTTTCATAGATTGTACATAAATGGTTCCAGTACAAAAAAATATTTTTGACAACTAAGTCAAAATACTAACTAGCTACAACTCTGACGAATGAATATAAATTCCTAGTAATTTATCAATATTGAAGTTACAGACTTAAGACAACGAATAATAAAGGGAAAAAACAGGAATCAGCGTTGAGTTCGACTTAACGGAAAGACTAGACGCTTACTACGTTTTTTTTTTAAAGAAAATAAGTCTCATTTCCAACCTACAAGACTCAAATTTAATCGTACCATAAATTACTTAATCGGTTTGTATGAATCCGTCAATGATGGAAGAGTAGCTGTCCGGAATATATACATAACTCTCCTATCACAAGTTTGTAAATGAAACCCAAAATTGTCACTGAAATTACTTACATTTTCCACACGCATATAAAAGATATATTAGAAATGTCTTTGTTTAAGAACTATATGCGTACTGAAAATAGTTATTTACAAGAGTTAGCGCGAGGTATAATGGAGAACGACTGGCGAGCGCAATCGAGTGTGCTCCGACGCAAGCTAGAAATGTCAAGTCAGCTTTCCACCCCTTCGCTATTGTCAATATAGAATCGTATTGTTATTATGAGTTTAAGTTGATCCGGACGTATTTACCACAGGATCAAAAGGACCATACCTGTCGGCCCGTGAGTCATTTTTATTTTATTTTTTATTATGTCATTGCTGGGTTGCTGAGCTTCAATGGTACTAATGTTAATGTGATAATTAGTATTTCAGTGTTATTTGAATTTCAATTAGTTATATTTAGCCTTTCACAGGCCTCATCTCCCAGGAGAGGGTACACCAAAGAGGATTTGGTGGGTAGGACTTTGGTGACGGATTAGAGTTTCACACTTTGTCGCTCGCTAGGCGGTTAGGATTTTGCTTCAAGCATTTCCAGACGTTTTCAAAAGGGCGCTGTATCTCAAAATACACCACATTGCAGAACCGTAACTGCAAGCCTTTTATTGCTTTATACAGCATTTAATTTGGGAAGACAGTAACAACATAGTTTTTATGTAACGAATTAAACTACAACCGCTGTCCATCCGCGGTCAGAAACGACCACAGAATGAGAGAAATGTAATTTAGACTTGTGTGGGAATCACGCCGTTAGGATTCTACGGGATGGCGGACCAACTACACCGCAAGGGTTAATTAACCGTTCTCACTTATAGGTGTGGGTCTGATGGACCCGAGACATGGGATTAACATCGCTTCTTTATATAATGAAGGACATTTAAATTTGATAGTTTGGTGAGTGTTTCTTTGTTCTAATGTTTCACGCACTGTATTAAATTATGAAGTCTATTCACTAATTAAGAGTATTATGTTTGATCAATTTACATTCACAATACAATACTTAAAAATAATGATGAGACTCGAATGAAAAATTGATCAGAAAGAAATTTTACAATTGAAAGTTTACAATATTTTTAAAAATATTTCCTTGTTTCTGTAAGGTAGATTGCCTGAACATTGATGAAAATGCGTTCTGTACTAGCGAAAAAGTAACAAGTGCTTGAAAAATTAGTTTATTAGTTCGGTATATACTCGGTAGTTCAGTAGTTAGAGCAAACTTTTGGATTGCGAAAGTCATGGGTTCGAGTTCCATCTCAGAGTGTTAGGGACAAAGTGAATTTTTAAGCATTTTTAATTAAGAATATTGATCAAATCCACGCTAGAAAGCAAACACGTAGTAACCCGCAAAACCAAAATTGTTCTTCAGTGCAAAAAACTTTTATTTCTTTCGATAAAAAATCTCTATAAATGTCCATGGTAACAAATAGTGTTCCTTAGTCAATATACACCGAAATAAGATATTTTTTTTTTTGGAAAAATATAAAGATTTTCCATTCTAAATATCCATTTTGGTTTTGCGGGTTACTACGTGTTTGCTTTCCAGCGTCGAAATATAATAAATCAATGACATTGTTCAGTTAAGGCAGTTACAAGCGTTTGTGAAAGCGAACTTGCTGTCAGTTCGCAAATCTACGGTGGACACCTTATACTTAATGAGAAGATTCACACTGAAAACACACGATATGATTCGATATTTAATCATTATTCGACTTCGTGTGATATTGGTAAAATTATGGAAACGTCAACTTGAGCGCGCGTTATGATTGTCGTAACTTAATATCACTACCGTGGCCCCCACGAAAGTCTCGATAAACTTCAGCCACGGAGCCGTCGCCGATCGGTACGGACAGCAAAACAATGCCCCTACCCGATCATAAAGTTGTCACGGGCGGCGCCCCACACGACACGGTATGCACATAAATCATAGTTGTCGCGAAATTACGTCGTATTCTGAATAAGGTAATAAACCTGGATTTTATAAGAACACATTTATGGACTTTGTACAAAAGAAACGCTTTTATAAATAAAACAAATTTATAAGTTGGGAAATAATATTACTATAATTAATTAATTATGACTTGGCTTCTCAGCATCACTGCCGTATGATAATTCCTTTAGATCTTCGCTTGTGCTTTTCAAACTTCCGTAGACGTTCGACACTCTATTCCGTAACCTAGTTGCGATCGAGTTCAAAAATTCCTTTTCTCTTTCGGTTAAGTCATTCATGCTATCGTGAATATCATTAAAGGAGTCTTGAATGTCATGTTTACCGCTATCCACCTTATCAGTTACATAGTCATTTGTTGCGTGTACACCGTCATTGATACGTTTACTAGCGTCCCGGCTAAATTCATATAAACTATCTTTTCCAGCTTCATAGCCTTCTTTAAACTTGTTACCTGCGTTACCAAGTTCAATTTGAATTTGTTCTACATTCTTGTGACTTTTATCATTTTGCACTTTAAGGAAATCAGTCAAGGATTTTCTTAATGTTGCAACATCTGAAGCGGGAAGTGGATGCATCGTTAAATCACTAATTTGTTTACTATTAACATCTCCTAAAACATACGACTTCATCTGTGAAATCCTTTTGCTGATACGATCATACATGGTTTTGATTACTCCTTTGTCTTTTCCATTTTCTTGGTCAATTAGCAGATCATGTATTCTATTACGAGCAGCACGGTAACCATCAGTGACGCCATTATAAAGACGACCAAGGAGACTTTGATCAGGCTTGACTAAAACATTATTTACATTTGCTCTTTCACTAGTATTTTCTGCTTCTATATCTCCAAATAATATATCTTTTCCAAAAGACCACCAGCTGTGCACCCGGTCCTTTACAGCTTGAGTTCCGTTCTCTACAGAGCCGTAAACATTATCAATGACTCCACCATTTGTATTTTCAACTAAGTAAGCAATGGATATTAAGAAAACAGTTACATTTAACACTCTCATTTTGATGTTACACTTGTGTTCAGTTACAATGGATGCTGCAACACTAATGAGAGAACATTTCACGTTATAGGCAATATATTTAACTTATGAGTTATCAATTGTCTGAGTAATCTGCCTTTTTGACATGAAGATGACTTAAACCATTATTGCTTATCATAAATACGCGGTATTGTTATTGAACTATGATCGTTAATTAATATTTACTTAATTGGAACACCTCTTATCTTATTTTGTTGTTATTCAACAGAATCGGAAGATGATGTTTTATATTTATTGAGAATAAAATTAGTCATAAGAATCTAACTGTTTAAAGTTCATCTTAATAATAAACGTTCAAATTATGCAAATTAATAATCGGGAAAAAGCACTAAAATGGTAGAATTCTTGGAGTACGTACCTAGAAGTTTAGAATAGTGGACGCATTAATATCCAATATGTAACTAGTATTTACATACAATTAATATTATTTTCTTTAATACAAATTTGGACTTCATCTAAAGTACATTACAAGAAAATAACCACAAACCGTTTCACGCAACATTCACGTTTCCACCTCGTAATATTGTTATTATAAGATACACCACCAAATTCAATCCCTTAACTATTACAGCATTGATACACGCCGGAGGAGGTACAAATAAATTCTATCACTTAAAGAATAGGGTCGATAGTCGTATTGTAGTCACAGAATTTGCTAAAATGAAGTTGAACATTGCCGAATAGAAGCGATATAATACCGAGGTATTATTAAGAGCTCGTTTGGGATACGCTGCGTTGTGTACGTGTGTTCGACGGTACGTCTCCATTTATGTTAAACGCGTCATGTTAGGTGTTTTTAAAAACAATTTGTGATATAAAAAAATAAACAGTAAATATTTAATAACATTGTAGTTATAAACAATATAATAATACGTAAACTATGTGAGTAACCTCAGTCGTTCTTTAGACAATTCAATAAAAAGTTATTTACTTAGAGTAAACTTTTATTTACTGTTTCAAGAAAAAGATTCTTGGATGGATAAGCAGGTAATTTTATATTATTAATAATATTTTAGAGGGTATCGAATCATGTAAGATTCGGTTTCATTAGCAATCTATTAAAGACCCCACTGCGGGGCAAGGTGTTCCATATGGATAGAATCGAATAGGGAAAATGGGCCATCCTGTGATCCACCACGAGGACTCACTGCGGATTGGTGGTGATTTAGCAAGGACCAATGGCTAAATAGGAGCTCAAGATAATAAAATTTGTTGGTCAACCATCCTATGACTGGATTTTGAGAAATTTGTTTCACTTAGTACCTACTGTAACATTTTCAAGAAATCTATTGCCTCCCCTCCCTATATTCGTGAAATACGGTGACCCGTTATTAGCCATAGAAAAAATGGTTACTTTACCTATACGTTATGATTATTTCCAACTCTGGACAACAGATGGCGCTACGGGAACTTAAACATTGTTTATTTGGTAATGTTTAGTGCAACAAACCGTGCCGGATGTGCACTGATAACGGGCACGTACATTGTTGGTCTGTTCAATATTCAAGCGGCGTCCACACGCGGTGCCACTGGATCAGATCTGGTTATTGTGTCAATATTCTTTATTGTTCCCTCTTCCCAATAACACGACCGGCGTCGGCACCAGAGCTCCATTAATCCATGGGGATTGCGTTATTAAGTCGCGTATTGATTTCGCGCACAAGTGTTTATGGTTTGTTGGCAAATTGGTGAAACTTTTTATGCTTCTGAACGTATTGTATTTGAAATAAAACTAACTTTTATCTAGAGATCTCAAAACTACGTACTTAATTATTTATTCATTCAACAGTTTTTATTCATATATGACCCTATGCTATTCTGTATTAAAATTAGCCTCGAACTCGAAGTGTAGCACATCGTTTTCACAACATAGCAGTTCAGTGTTACAAAAACTTTATTATCTTCAGATTATCTTCAGTGTCGGACTAACCTCGCCGGAGGCCCGGGGCGGCATCAGGCCTACAACTAATTGTAATCGGAGTAGAAACTTCATTAAGTTTACATCCTCCTCCCTACCCCCCCGTGAGTGATATGATTTGATCAAGGGAAGTTCCAGCCATTTAGACAAGACAAGACCCCAGGACAAGAGGCTTGGAACGGACCACCCTCTCCCCCCAGTCCGCCACCGATTATCTTATGACGTATCTAAAACGTAGGCTTTTAAATTGTACTTTAATGATGTAACAATGCGCTTCAACACCAAGTTCAATGCTAATTTTATTGAGTATTGAATAGAACTGCTCGAAATCTTTTAGCTGTCTTAAGTATATTAACTTTTACATCTCCGTAATCTCAGTTTACGCTACTTTAATCATATACAATGAAACTTTTATGGTGTGCTGGTGTACTTCCAGTAGTGTGTAGCTACATATATACTTAAAAATTTTGCATATTGCTAATTTAATATAATTATATAGTGAACTGTCAGTTACATTTCACAAGTGGGAAAGTTTCCCTGTATTTTTACGAGCGCCAAAGTTTCACACGTATCCCGCAAGAACTTTTATCGCAATACAAATTTCCTGGGACATAGGCGTCTGCGGATGCCTCTATAACCTAGAATATATAATTTTGAGCATCTATTTATCAAAAACAAACAGATCTGTTCAGTGGCGTTTTGCATCAACACCGATCCAATCAGTATTACCTTAAAAACTTATAATTATCTTTGATGAGGTAGTTAAGTGTAGCATAATTTGATGAGTTTCCATATTACCTTCCAGCCTTCAGAACTTTCTATATTACACGGCGGCGGTGCACACTGTTCCCTATCCTATCGACAAGGCTTATTGTTAACTTCACCGACAGAGTTCGCGGCCGAGATCTACTCTATCTTAGTTTACAGATTCTGGTGAGCTCTCAATATATCGCCGGCTCCGGGGAGTCTCACTGCTGACTAATGCGTTATTCCGTCATGCATCAACTATCTACTCGAATAAAGCTTGAAGTTTTAGCTTATATTCATACTACTGCGATTCTTAGAATTTTTATCAGTAATAGGTGTAGATTTCGGAAGAGATTCCTTCTGCATGTTAGATTTCATGTAAAAATGGGTTATGTCCTTTCTTACTTAAGGTATATTGAAATAATATGTACAAATACAAACCCTAAAAACAAATATGAGTTATATTAATACATTAAACGTATTGATGGTCAATCATAATTATTTCTAATAGTTACATAGGTATGTCAAAGTAGCTAATAGTCAAAATATTTATTATGTTATAGAAACCGAGTATATATATTTGACTTCAAAATTTCCGGACTTCGCACGCACGTATACAATTTACATTTAGTACCTAGGATTCCAGACAGCGTTAAGTATATTATTTCTGATAACTGTAACAACTATTACATCAGCCAATGTATACAAAATGTTTAATCATACACAAAACAACTTGGTTATCTGTGAATCAGATTATCGGTCACGTGTGAAAACTACGAGAATATAATTTCGGTGGCTTTTATGTTTCTCGCGTTCAGAGGTAAGGATAGACGCGCTTTAAGACACTTTATCTTATTAAAATGTTCATATAAAAAAACTTTACTTTTATTTGCTATAAAACATCATCACCTGGAGAGCATCTGAGTGGTGAGTGTTCGCCTGCACTACTGAGAGCGTTAAAAATATTTATGAAGATTCGTAGTTCTAGGTAGTCACCGCTAGAGCTGTACCGGATTCCATACTAAAATCTTAACGCGCTCGCGATCGACGGTGAACATAAATGTCAAAAAAACTTACACTAAGCACTCTGCATTAGCATGATAACTGCTGCATTTATTGGCTATAGCTGTTCGCCAGCGACTTGACCCGCCTGATCCCTAGGGAACTCTTTATGGTATCGATCCATATAATGACACGGATATAATTACAATGACAAATTTAATGGTAAACAATGGTTACCACGGTAACCGTCTAATTCCCTACACAAACTTCCATTCCCATTGTCATCCCTTTATATGCTGTTTTCCGGAAATTACAATGACAAATTTAATGGTAAACAATGGTTACTATGGTAACGTTTTAATTACCTATACAAACTTCCATTCCCATTTTGATCCCTTAGATGCTGTTTTCCGGGATAAATTATAGCATACGTTCACCATGTATGATGTACGTTTAGAATCAGTTCAGTAGTTTCGGCGCCTATTCGTTGCAAACAAACATTCAAAGCTTTCCTCTTTATAATATTAGTAAAAACTAACATTCTGTCTTAATATAAATATTGGTTCATCGAAAATTAATGTATACTTCAATTTCTTTGAACCGATAGTAAAACAAAAAGGATTCTTAACAAAAACAATCCATCCAACAATTCAGGTTGCATCTTAACAAGCTCCAATCAACTTTGTTATTAGTGCTTTTAAAATCAAGTTCTATCAGAAACCGTGAGCTAGATTACTTATCTAGCTCGCACTTATATTTTCTGTGGTAACGTTATTTTTTTATTTTAAACTAGCTTCATGGCAACGTATCTAGTTTATTATCTGTTATTACGAGTTTTCAAGCACTATTATTATATATAGAGCTTTTAAGCTGGATGCTATAAAATACAAAAAAAAATATTACTAATTCTATTTTTATTCTATTCTGTTTATAAATTAAGGTTTTCTGTAACAAACCTCTTAGGAATATGATGTAGTTTTCTCATTTTGATAACAGATAATTTTGATGTTATTTCTTAATTCAAAATCAAATGAATAGCTAGTTAAAAAATAGTAATTTTTCTTGTACATTCGTAGTAGTTCCTGAAGCTTTGAAAAAAATTATAAGTGACAAAAAAGTAGTAAAATTACTAATTTTTAATGATTATTAATCATCATGTTTATAGGATAGGGTTTTATAGGATACTTTAAAAAATGCATTTATTGGAACAAATAGTTTAACTAAAGTATAATGTACGGAAATAGTCGCGGTAGTTTAAAAAAGAAAACTGAAGCGCAATCATTAGCGCCTACCTCCAGATAGTCCAGATTAATTATGGATTAATTAATTGGGTATCTGTGTGTTGTGTGTACGAATGAAACATTTAGCAGTTCCTCGATCTCTTTATAAGGGTATGAATCCTTTTTTTCAACCACGATTTTACATTTTCGTAAGATAAGACTGTACACTTTAAGGGTTTTATTTATTTGTTGTACAGTTTGGGGCTCAGGAACTGATATTGTCGAGAAGCCATGCAAATTTACGCACAAT